TAGTGACGGGATAATGATCTGCAGGTGAGAGGCGTTAGCCCAATGAGGTGGGCGTGGTGGACCAGCAGGAGGAGGAAATGAGTGGACAGGCGATAGGCTGGCAGGTAGGTGGGGTGACAAGGCGGGGTGAGTGGAAAATTACTGAATAGGCTGTGGAGGTGGCATGTATGACAGATGATAAGTGCCCAATGTGCCAGAAATAAAAAAGGAAATCTTGCTCAAAATATTGAAGAAATGTTTCATCTTTAACTTTTTGCCTTCTGGAAATCAGTTCATCTTCTCCTTACTCAACTATCCACAGTAAACTAAATTTTGACCAGGGGTGCCCAGACTTTTGCATGCCACTGTAATGTAAGACTATAAAATATTGGATAGTTAGGGGACCCCAAGGTGTTCCCAGACCAGATGAGATATGTAATCCCTCCAGTGTGTTCTGGGTCTGCCCCAGGGCCTCCTACCAGTGGGACGTACCTGAAACACCTCAAGCAGGACGCACCCACGAGGCATCCTCATCAGATGCCCAAACCGCTTCAACTAACCCCTTTTGATGCGAAGTAGCAGCGGCTCTACTACAAGCGCCCTCTGGATGTCCGAGCTCCTTACCCTATCTCTAAGGCTGAGCCCAGACACCCCACGGAGGAAACTCATTTTGGCCACTAGTATCTGTGATCTCATTATTTCAATCACGAGGGCTCATGACCATAGGTGAGGGTTGGGACGGAGATGGACCAGTAAGTGGAAAGCTTTGCCTTCTGGCTCAGCTCCCTCTTCACCACGACGGTCCAGGGCAGCGCCTGCATCACTGCAGAAGCCGCACCAAACCGCCGATCGATCTCATGCTCCATTCTACCCTTACTCATGAACAAGACCCCGAGATACTTGATCTCCCTTGCTTGATTCACTAACTCTCTGGAAATGAATGTGTAAAAATACAGAGTTGAGTTTAACATCACTTTCATTTACTCCTAACCTCTCAGGAGGGTTTGACATAGTTAGCTGTAACTCTCTAGGTGTAAAAACATTCACAAGAAAATCTGTTCAGTCTCTGTTTCTCAACACTTTAAGCAGAAAATGTCAATAATGATGACCTGTTTAAAGAAACCGCTTTGTAATGTAGACTGAGACAGCTCCTTCTCACTATACTTTCCTTCCTTCCAGACACACTCACACACTATTTGTACAAAAAAAAAAAAAAAAAAATCACAAATCCATCTGTACCTGCGTAAATCCCGGCTTCATGTTGGGCCAACAACATGTCTTAATTACAGAGGCACACTGAGCCCCTCTCTGCTCTTCAGCGATGAAAAGAAGTCCAATTACCTTGAACTCAAAAAATATGGGATCAGTCACAGAGCAGAGGATTAAATCAATATTATGGTCCAATCTGAGGCAATGCTCCAGTAACAAAGCAGAGAGTAATGGAAAAATCAAAGCGCTCAATGTTTGGACTCTCCAGCATTACTCATCTGGCCTCCTGAATGGAGTCTTATCTCGTCATGACAACAGCATAGAGAGAGAGAGAGAGAGTAATTGCCATGGCAACAGGTCACCTTGGGCTTATCTTTACGTGAACTTGCTTCAGGCGAGTGCTGATGGAAGATTTAAGATGTGTCATGACTGCCACGCCATCAGGTTCAACACACCTGACAGAAAGCCTTGTTTAAAGTTCAGAGTTGTGACAGAGGAATTAAAGTAACAGAATAACATCTTTGGTTGAGTCTCTCCTCTGCTGTGTATTTGTGTCAGTCAGCAGCTGACATGTGACCCAGACACCAGAGGGATATTCCTCCAGGATGCTGCAGCAGATGACTGACCTCCATATGACAAGATCAGAGGACGAGGCTGTGATTACAGCCCAGTCGTCACAAGAAAATGTTGGCATAATATATTTCTGTAAACTATAAGTTACATTTGTGTATCTCATATGTTTCTAAAGTGACAAATTATATGAGCTGTCACCTGGAGGTGGAGGGGATGGTGGATAGCAGGTCACCTAGGAGAGACACCTGCCAAACTAACGGAATATAGTAACTTCAACAACTGCACCTTTTAGAAGTACCACCGCGAGAAAATGTGGCCCTTGTTTAAATTAGAGCGAAAATAACGAACAATGAGTCGTAGGCTAGTTGTTATGGCTGCCAGCATTAGCTAGCACAGCTAGCACGCTAGCTAAGTTAGCTGAAATGTTGTCTATTTGGACTTCAAAATGTTAATCTAAACAAAGTACATGTTTCATTGGACTGGTCCTCCTAAAATAGACTGTGGTGAAAGTTGTTATATTCTCTATTGATACATGATTAAGGACCTGATAAGGAGACAGCACTAGCTAGCGAGCTAGACGCTAAAAATTATAAAAGTTTTCTATTTCTTCTTAAACAAGCATTTGTGAACACAAGGCTAACGTTATTTTTACAACAATGATCTAAAATATGTATTCTGCAATCTTTGTCTGTACAACATACAACTGAGAATCTGGTACTCACACATGTGCATGTCTAAAATGGTGGCTCTGCGGCTCTGCAGGGGGATGATACTAGACTGGGCCGCCAGGTGACTATTCAAATAAACGCTAACTGTAGCATTACATGGCTAGTGGTTATTAAAAGGTTTAACAATAGAGTCGAGGCTTTTAAAGCTTAGTGTTAGACGTAAGCTGCTGCTGCTAATTAGCTTGTGCTAACACTGGAGACGGTCCTTTGGGGCTGTGTCTAACCTATTTAACAGCTGCAGGAAGTTTGTTGATCTGGTGAGGTGTCGGGCGGTTGGAGATCAGACCCTCGGCAGTTGTTGCTGTTCTTGTTCTTTGTGTTTATTTGTGGCTCTCAAACCAAGATTAAAGGTACATGTACCGCTGTCAGCATCTCCTCTCGTTTCAGATCACTTCACTTCTTGCCCATGTGTTTTCCCTCCCTTTCAATGGCTTCACCTGTGTCTGATTGTCTGTCCGACCCTGATCAGCCTCACTTGTGTGTCGTTATCCTTCCCCTCACCAGTGTGTCTTGTTTTCTCAGTGCCACTTCATCTTAGCTCCTTGTGTGTCTCGCGTTCCAGCGTTTTGTTTCCCTGTATTTTTCGCACTAACTTGCTCATTGTCTTTTTTCCCAGGTTTTTGAAAGAATTAGCACCAAATACTCAAGGTGACTGAAAGCAGCACAAGAAAAGTGATGTCGCTCCAGGTTTCAAAGGGTTAACACCAGCATTTTTACATTAAAATACAATTTCCCATTACAAAATAGGCATGGACTAAAAAGATGAAGGCTCTACAAAGAAGAGTCACACATGCATGTTCATCCAAAAAGGCTCTTTAATTGGTCTAAGTGATTAATTACAGGGTGAGGGAGCCAGGTAATATAGATACTAGAATAGCTTTCAATTACCTCATTTAAATTTGATCATTTAACAGTTAGAGGGGACGGGGAAAACAGGGATGATGAGGGAATATAAAAGAGTGGAAATGAGAAAGTGATGAAAATCTTAATATAGGCCAACCGATAGAGTTAATACAGTAATAACAAATATTTAAGTAAATCGGCGACAGCTTTACAAAAAGAAAAATGTGCTACAAGTGTGATTAGAAAACTTTAAGAGTGACTATAAATTCCTATCATATGTAGAATACATGAATATGACAATAACCAGCCTGAAATAACACATTTTCTCTATATCGATATAGTTATTTAGATGCAGAATTTATTTATTGTGAGGCCCTGTGTGATGTTGTGCTGTACTGCAGCCTCGTACTGAGGCCCAGTGAGGAACAAGAATCCATGGTTTAAGACACCTAGTGCTGGTCAGTGCTGTCCCAATACTTTAGTCATTTTGCAGATTGTGTTCATATGGACTGCTTTCACGAAGTGTCTGCTTCCTCCGACTCATCACCAAATGACGACATGAAGGGTTTAACTCCGAAACATTATGAATCTGTGAAGGAGTTACCTGAAATTAATTCACAGATGTCCCAAAATTCTAATTTTTATTCTAGAACACTGCTGATCCTCAGTGTCAGTAAGTTTGTCAATTTCAGCTAATTTGCTCCTGACAGCCCGACACCCGTTAACTGGTCACGCAAAATACCGTGAAAGACAAGAGGCCTTTCCTTTTAATTTGGCGCTCCACTGACTCAGTGAGCTTTAGCGCCACATTTCAAAGTGCTATCCATTTAGCAGTGGTGAAATTTGAATGATTTGTGATCTAAATTTATTTAATTTTATTTTCTGTTGGTTTTGCTGACAGACAACTGGCTAGCCACACAGCTAGCCGGCTTAACGTGGAAACATAGTGCCCACTGCCCACCCTCTGGTCTCCGTTGGTTAACTAACATTAGCATGAGCTTCCATTGGTTAGCTAACAAGGCTAATGTTAGCCTTGGCTTGGGAGCTAGCTAGCAGTGCGATTACAACTGGTAACATTGTCCTGGTGGCGGGAAGACATGCTGCGGAAACATTGTGGCCACCCCCTGTATCAAACCTGGTAGCCCTGGTGATTAAGCAGCTACATTTTGAGCTGCAAAACCCCCTTAGCATCATTAACTATGTTAACACCACTAGCCGTACTGACACTGCTAACAGAGCTAACAGAAGCAAACAATGCTAAAGGGGTTTTGCAGCTCACAATTGACCCTTTGTTAACTTCCGCCCCTCATAAGCAGACCGGCCAGTGATAACGTATCATCAGGCCGGCTCAGACCAGGGTCCGACAACAACACAGCTGTGCTCCATTGCATCCATAGCTCCATGCAGTAGTTTCAGATTTTCTTCATTTTCAGGCTGGTTTTGTGGATTTAGAGCTAAATGTTGTGCCTGAGGCACATTGTGTATTAATGATACTTGTTGCCTGGAGAGGTTGGAAAAAGATACACGTTTCTTCCCTGTTCCAAAACCAAAATCAAACCCTGAAAAGTGTAGGGTTAGCTAGCTAGCTACTGAAGATATAGCCTACTGAATGTATACACATGCTGCTTTTGCTTTTTAATGATTCTAACAGTGAAACAAAGACCGACCCTGCTGTACAGGAACCAGTGAAGGGAAGCAGGGAAACTTTGTGTCATTGCAGTGTGTGCCCGCAAGGGAAGCCAAACATTGTTCATCTGCACACACTGCAATGACACATAGCTGGTTGAAAATCAGCAAAGTTTCCCTGTAATTTCACTGTTTCCTGTCTCCATCACCAGTGCTGTGGTGGTTCATTTTTACACTGTGATCTGAAGGTTAGACTTTAGTAACAGTTTCAGTTTTTATCTTGTTGTTGCTGCTGAGTCAGTTTGACATCCTGGATATATCCTTCAAACACAGACTGTAGACCCCTCTGTCTGCTTCTCTCTGGAATCACTCTTTCATTTTTCCAAAAATATGATCATATTTCTTCAGGGAGTGCAGTTAGTGACAGTGTTGGCTCTTTGCTCACTCTGGCAACTTAACAGATCATCACAAAGGGGCGGGGCTTAGCAAAGGGTTAACTTAGCTACTTACTTACTGGGATTACCCTGGGGGAGACTGGATGGTGGGCAAAATGTTTCCAGGGCAACACTGCTGGGTCAGAACGGCGTTACTAGCGGTAAGCGCAGAATGAGCGGTACTGCTAGCTCCCACCCATTCCAGTTCCAATCCAAACTGCATCACAGTGGAGACCTGACGGCACTTTGAGCCAGTGTTCTCTCTCCAGGGTGATGCATAGTGCAGTAAACTGAAGAGAAGCAAAATTTACCCATTGACCGACATAAGTAACCGGTGAAAAATATTCTTCATGGTCTGGATTCAAAATGCTTTAATACTGAATTTTGGAATTAAACTCTTCATGACGTCGCCACAGCTGTCTTCACAAGTCTTGCTACAGTGGCTGCTTGTTTTTTTGGTGGCTGTATTTAAAGAGACAATACCTTATCCCTCCGCTACTTCTCCTCAGCTGTAAACAGTTCATCAACTCGACTACGCCCATGACTGAATCCCAACCATCCACGATAAAATATACACAACACACACACACAGCATGAAAACTCTGGTTATAGTTTAACCATGCGCCAACACTGTGGACTGTTGTAAATCTTAGTGCACATTAAAGCACAGAAAACACACAAGCGCTGTCGTAGGAAAGTAGCAAGTGAGTAAAACCTGCCCACCCCAGCCTTCCGCACGTGTCTCGAGGATAACTTGGTAACAGTGCAGTCTTCTTATCTTACTGTAGTATACATCAAAAAAGTCCTAAACATCTGTACGTTTTGCAGACCCAAACTTCTATCTTTTACCACAGTCACATAGAAAATAAACGATTACTTCAAGTCATGGTTTCTCCCTTGTACGTTAATCTAACCACTCCCTCCTCTCCACAGTGGTCATGTGAAAGAGTCTCTGTTACTCCACAGCGTCCATCTTAGGAGGTCCTTCTCCCATCACACCTCAGACTCCAGACTGGACACCCGTCGCCAGGGACGGAGTACGCAGGGGCTCCCCACAGGCTGGCCCCCTGCTCCCTGACCTCCCAGGGCCTCTGAACCAGTCTGGGATCCCTGATAGACCCCATAGGCCCCATACACACTGTCCTGGTACAGCAGAGCCCGCTGGCCTCCACATCTCCCGCCACCACAAGCCAGCAGCTGGCACACTGGGCTCGGGTGGCCGCTGGAGGCCTGGCTGTGGTGCTGCAGGTCCAGGGGGCCGTGGTAGAGGGGTAGTCCAGGGTATGAGTTCAGGTAGTGGGCGTACTGTCTGCTGAGCAAGCTGGTGGCTCTGCGTACCATCCCCCGCCCTAACCCAGCCCCGTGTCGCACTGCTTCTCCGTACGTGGGGAGGTGGGTGGAGTGGGAGTAGCGCAGCCTCTGGCCCTTACGCCCATTGGGCCTCCTCTGGTCCTCCCGTATGTGGAGGTAGGCCTGGTTCCGCGGGAGGCACAGGTTGTTTCGAAGGTGGGCGGGGTTGTGGGGCTTTGCGGGTGTGGTCGGTGTAAGAATGCATGGGAACAAGTCCGGCAGGGTGGAAGGTGATTGGCTGGACAGGGATGACTGGGATTCGTCGAGCTGGCGCATCTGCTCGCTGCCCCATGTCGCTTTAAGGAAAGAGGGGCGGCGGTGCCTGCGTCTCCCTCTCAGCACCAGATCCTCTGGGGGCCAGGAGCTGTAGTTCTCCACCCGAGGACACATCCCCTCCCCTGTGTAGATGTTGTCAACGCTTGGGGCGGAGATGTGGTTGTCTTGGAGGTGGTTGGCTTTGAGCTCGCTCATATAGACGGGACTTGTGTCATTCTTTTCCTGCTCCCTCTGTGTTCTCCCTACGTCCCCATCCTCACACTGGAAGCTCTTGGACCTCCTTTTCCGTCGGGAGAAGCCCGCTTGGAGGTGCTGGTTTTGAGGCGAGGAGAGCGGGTGAGAGGTGTAGATGTCAGGTAGTTGGAGGTCAGTGTAGGGGATGAAGGGTGAGTGAGGATGGGTGTCTACGTAAAGTCTCCCAGTCGTCTGGTAGTGGTGTGGGTGCTGATGAGGGAGCGGTTCGCCCACGGCCAGATGGGGGCTGCTGAGGCTGGACACAGGAAGTGGCCTGTCATACAGACATGAAGTGGAGCGTGTCGGGAGCGTGTAGCGCAGTGGCGTGGGCCTGGTCACACCCCTCTGCTGTTTCAGAGAAGTAACAGCAGTCAGAGGCGGGGTCAGCGAGCAGTGATTCTCCGTAATGTAAGCAAATCCTCCCGGTACGGCCTCCGTGGCAACTTGCGGGATACGAACAGGCAAACTGCCGCCATGACGACTCAAATGCTCTATGGTCTTGGTGGCGTTGTCCAGAGAGGTCTCAACATTGGCGGTGGAGACCAGGTCCTTGGCAGTGCGAAGCATCTTCAGCATGTTAGCTTGAGCGTAGTTGGAGGTCAGGTCGGGTTTGGCCAAACCAGAGGAACGCCCAGGATCCTCCACGCCGTTGAAACAACTGTAAATACCCTGAGAGATCAAACAGAGTGACAAGGAATTAAGAGAAGAAACATACATTGAGGAAAGGATAAGATGTGGTGAAAGTATGGAGCTAGAACAGTGACAGTAAGTTTTGGTATCGAAAATAAAATCTGGTGTTGAAAAAGGAAACATTGGCATTGAAAAAGTTCCACTCAAACAAAACACAGGCATTAAAAATTCTTTTACTTACGTTTTTTTCCACTTTTTGTTTATCTGTCACTGCATACTCAGGAGAGAATGACCCTCATTTATGACAAACTTACAACAGAAAACTGGGTGCACGGTCATTTCCCCGCAAACCTCTGCATTTATCAATATGGATGTGAGTGGAGGCTACGATCAAATCTCACCTTAGGCCAACACAAGTTCTGCTGGGAGACCTTTGGTCATGGCATTCATGTGCTATTTGATGCCCTCCACCCACCCGAACACCACTGTGGCCTAAGTAACCCCCCTCACAGCAGAAAAATGAGGCATGCCAAAAAGCTCAAGGCATTGACCTGGCCTCCAAATCTCCAAAACTCAATCTGATTGAGCATCTTGGAACGGGCTGGTACCCAACGTCACAGCTGACAGGGCTCAAATGATCCGAAGCCAACACCCCGTTGCCAGACACCACAGGACACCTTCCAGAGGTCATGTGTCCATACCTTGACATGTGAGAGACAAGTCCACTCCAGGGAGGCCCCACCGTGGATCGGGGGTACCTCTGAGGTACCAGAATGTCCCATGGATGCTCGATCAGGTTGGTATCTGGGAAATTTGGAGGCCAGGTCGTGCCTTTAGCTTTTTGTCACGTTCCTCAGGCCATTCCTGAGAAGTTTCTGCAGTGTGGCATGGTACATTTTTCTGCTAAGGGGGCTACTGCCATCAGGGAGTATGGTTGTCGTGAGGGGGGAATTCTTAGCCCACAGTGGTGTTTGGGTGGGTGGAGGGCATCAAGTGGCGTCGACCTGAATGCCATGACCAAAGGTCTCCCAGCAGAACATTGCATTTTAACAAAATGATCAATGCTACTCACTTCAGCCACCACTGGTTTTAATGTTTTGGCTGATCTGTGGAGATCACAGCAGTCATTTCTTTCTGTAATGCCTTTCTCTGACTTCCTTTGATGCCACTTTACAGGTTGCCAAATTGAACCAGTTGGTTATACTGGACCTGGGACGATAGCGTTTCCATTTCCAGCTCAGAGAAGTTTCTCCTCCTAGCTGTATTACAGCTTTCTACATTGTAAATTCTCAGGGTGAGAACTCTAAACCAAGAATATTTTTCGGGCATGGTATTCAGTTGCCACATTCACCATGATCATTTCTACACTGTGATCAACGAGATGTTTCATGAATAGCATGCGAATCTGATTGTTAAATGATTTCTGTGCTGGTTTGTACGTTCGATTGATAAATAGGGGCCACTGCCTCTTTGGTACCTACAGTTCTTCGAGAGTGACATGAAGAAAAAAATCTTAAGATTATCATTGAGAAAATACATCAGAATGCTTACTTACTTAATTAGAATAAAATAAATTCTAATTTGTTTTTTTTTTTTTAAAGATATTTTTTGGGCATTTTTTGCCTTTAATGGACAGGACAGTTAAGTGTGAAAGGGGGAGAGAGAGAGGGGATGACATGCAGCAAAGGGCCACAGGATGGAGTCGAACCCGGGCCGCTGCAGCAACAGCCTTGTACATGGGGCGCCTGCTCTACTACTAAGCCACCGACGCCCCGTAAATTTTAATTTGTTAATGCCTGCATTTTATTTTCCAGTGGAACATGTGTCAGTGCCAGTGTTTCCTTTTTCAAAGCCAAATTTTATCATTAATCCCAAAACTCACTGCCACTGTTCGAGCTTCATATAAAAGAGACATCAGAAAAGAAAAGTAAAGCATAAATCACTGAATCATTTGTAATTAAATCAATAGTTAGCCACAAACTGTTTAACCTTGAATCAACCTACCGCTCCTAGGGGGACAATTTCACAGACGAAATTTCAACCAATTTGTGCATCTCAAAGTGATGTTCCACCTCCTAACTAATAAAAACCCCACTGGCAGTTAAATAAAAAAAATGATTTCATTAATATCTCATTTTATCACAGAGGCAAGACTTAGTCACAAATTCATTATGCATTCTCCCGGGACTCAAAGAAAAACAGTTTAAGCTGAGAGGATTGCCCCAGTAAACGTACAAGGACACACACACGCACACACACATGCCTAAAGTCCCGTCTCTAACTGCATGGACAAACACGGAGCCAAATCCCATGACTGCTCTCTGCTTACAGTTGGCTGGGAGATCCTGAAAGAGCCAAATTTAATTTGGCCCTTGGGGCCGCCCCGTACGGATTAATGATCAGATAGTCATTTAGCCGTTAATCTGATAAAACCCCAATCCAGGCACAATGGTGTAATTACACGGCGGAGGGGCGCAGAGGCTGGAGTCCGTAGACATTTCCCAGGCTGCAACTTCAGCCAGAGCTTTTTGCCTCAGTAACCACACTCCCAAACAACAGCGTCGACACACTGGGTACTGATTCAGGCTAATTGCGAGTGAACATTAAGCAATCAAAGTTAAATGCTCAGTAAACAGCAGAATTAGTGCTGCTTTTCTGTCCTTTTATCTCTCCCCTCCCCTCTCATTCTTAATAACAATGTGGTGACATTTGTGCTAATATTTTACCAAGGCCCTCTAATGATGCCGTTTAATTACACGCAAACACCATTTGGGCACTTATTATCACATAAAAGCCGCTTCATGTAAAACAGCACATTGCACTGAAAAAGCAAACAGAGTCAAAATAATCAACCAGCCAATCTTTCAATCACTCAGCCGAGCTGTTACTCAACTCATCCAATTACAGCCAGCCAATCAGCCTCTTAACTAAATGATCAATGTAAAAATCAGTGAAGCAGTTTCTCAGCCGCACTTCCATAAACCAAGCAGTCCGCAATCAAACCAGCTCAGGATCCATAAACATGAGCTACCCCGCTTTAAAAATAACAACAACAACAACTAATCAATCAAATGACTAATTTGCAAATCTCACCCTACTGATGGCCAGCAGGAAGTCAAGTTTGTGAGACTTGCGGAGGGAGTGTCGTAGTTTCCAGTAAAGCAGGTGTTCCCAGGCAAAGACCAGCAAGCTGAGGCCCATGGCCACCAGCAGCATGTAGAAGACGCCCGCCATGTTGTCGATGTCCAGCTTACTGCTCATCACTTCGTTCTTCTCGTTCTGGCAGATGCCCGACAGCCACACCGTCTCCAAGCGCTGGGTGTCACCTGGTGGGACGGAGGTTTGTGGGAGGAGAGGAGGAGGAAAGAGAGAGTGTGAGATGACTCGACAGAGAGAGGAAGAGAAAGAGATATGACAATGAGCGCTCACTGAGACGATGAATGACCGTGGTTTGAATGCTTAATCAAGACGTCCAGATAGGGTTCCAAAATAGTTGTGGCGACATCCTTATGTTACCTTGCCATCATCTAGATGTACTTTCTGAGCGTCCTAGCAATGTTGAAATACGACTTTGGAATACTGACAAAGGACTCAAACCCCCTAGCCCTGTGCCAAACAATGTGTCATGTGACTGCAGTTGGTTCAGATCGAGGTCAGAACACGTTCTCACCACAAACGAACCGCACCAGAGTTCATTTGTAACCGGACCGAGACCCCCTCTTCAAGAAGGTCTCGGTCCGGTTGTTTTGGTGCGCACCAGAGTGTGATTGCTGTGTTCACACCTGCCCAAACGAACCACACTGAGGGGGAAAACGAACTTGAGTTCGATTGAACCGAACCAAACAGGGCAGGTGTGAAAGCACCCTAAGAGAGTGTCTGAATGGGACCATTATTAGACATGGAAACAACGTCACCATCAGGCCTTCTGCCTCATAACCATGTTGCAGTTTTTGGCATCAGACTGGAACCACTTTTGGCCACGGGCATGACGTCACCAAGGAAAATATAAAAGAAGGAACGGTCATGACTTTGGTGTCAGTTCCATTGGAGTCAATGGGGCTTACACAGGAAATCACATTATAATCCATCATATCTTTATTTTTTCAACTTTGACTGAAAAATCTTTCCACTAGATCACAAAACACACATTAAGCGATGCTTACTGATGTTTTTTTATCTACATATGTGTGTTCGTTTTCCTGTAGTATTCCTTTAAATCTCCTCTACCCAACTGACCCATTCAAATGATTCCAGAGTTTCCAAATACACCCAATATGCTGACACTTGGGGAAATGTGTAAAAATGATGATGACAGCATACACAACACTCCCATGTAATCGAATAGCACAGCATCAAAAACATGGTGTTTTCAGGCTGTCATATCATATCACCCTCCACATACTTTCTGGCCGCACACAACAATTTTGTCTCCCTGTCTCCTTTAGTGGTGTAAAAGCATCTCAACATGCCAACAAAGCACCTTCTGAATGAGATGTATTTACAGTAGCACATCTCCATGAGCTATTACTACCACATAAACTACTCCTCCAGGCCTGTGAACAGGTGGCCACCTCTTGAGCTGCGGCCTCCCCAGAAGCCTCCAGGGAGCACGGCCCGTTTTATCTCTCAGTTAGCTTATGTTGACCATAAACACACCACTTCTTATATCATCATGGAAAGCTCAAAGAGAGTGCAAGTGTGTGTATGTGTGGGGTGCTCTTAAGCTCTCAGAGGAGGGAGGATATTAATTCCACACCGGCGGCCGTCATGGTGAGTGTGTTTGTGTGTATATAGGTGGGAAGGATATGTGTGTGTGTGTGTGTGTGTGTGAGTGAGTGTGTAATGGAGATAATCATATCCCTAACACTCCCTGTGGTTCTGCAGGATATTAACTCTTCCCTGTAAGCCCACTTCCCTGCTGATACAGCACACACTGAACTGGACTGACGCCAATTCCATCGTTCACATACGGCGTGCCAGCCAGACAGAAATAAACTCAAACAGATAAAACGCACAAAGGCGTACAGTAAGTGTGTGTGTGTGTGTGTGTGCAGGCACAGGTTGTGTATTGAATCATGTAAGGTTCGTATCACCGTCTCCTAAGAACTGCAGCAGCGCCAGGTCAATAGGCCGTTTCCAGCGGGAGTCCTTCTGCAGAGCGATGCCGTATCCCGTGGTGGCAAACACTTTCCCGCTGCCGATGGTCACCAGCTTGCAGCCCTCATCCTTCCCCGCCATGTAGTTCAAAACAGCAGCGTCGTAGATGAAGGCGTCCAGCTTTCTGCATGCAAACAGATCTTTGTCTGAGAATGTTTGGCTCCTATGAAGTTTAATAACCTCTTACATATGATAGAAACGTAGTTATGTCTCTATGTCTGAAAGGATAAACAGAAATAATGTACACTTAATATTGATGCTGCCCACTTTTAAAAGCATACCATAGTTCACCCTGTTCTCATTACCAGGTCTTCAACTACCAACACTTTATCACCACTGTTGGAAATTAACGTTTTGGTCAACCTGCTACTGTGGCTGACTGATTTCAAAATTAACCAGCTACTCAACTGAGTGAAGCAAATCGAGAAGCTACAGCCAGCATTTGGCTGGTGGCTGGTGCTAATTTCCAACCCTGTTTGTCCAGCCCCTCAAGCGTGTGACATCGACGCCAAAGGCACCCTTTAGCATCTTTATGAGATGCATCAGGCTTTCAGCTAACTCCAGTGTAAACCCATCCACAGCAATAATTGACGCTGAGAGTAACTGATGTAGTATAAAGAGTGGGAAAGTTTTAGCAGGCGGGACGGGAGGTGGATGGGTCAAACAAAACCTAATGTCAGTCACATGATGCATTTATGTCACCTTACGTGACACTATAGATTTGTTGACTTACCCTAACCACGACTGTTTCACAACACTGAGAGCTGAGACAAAATATCCGTGTTTCAGAACCTGCGAATGTGAACGGGCTGCAGCATAGTTTTTAGCATCTTACAGACACTTGAAACTTGCTTGAGATTGGTAATCCATCACAGTGAACATTTAGTCAGCTTCTTTGTTAAAGTTGCATGTGATGGTGCCAGTTGTGAGCAGAGACTCTTTACTCTAACCAGGGAAAGTTTTGGAAAAAGTCCCTGCAACATTATTTCAATTCAAAGATAATGTAACTTAGACAAATGACAACTCTGTGACACCAGTTCACCATTTCGGTTTAGAATGCTAGCATGCTAACATTTGCTAATTAGCACTAAACACAAAGTACAGCTGAGTCTGATGGGAATGTCCTTAGTCAAATTTAAATTTTAAATTTTGACCTGCTCTGGGGACCATGAATGTCTGCACCAAACTTTTTGCCCATCCAACTTGTAGATGTTGAGATAGATCAAAGGATATGTGAAAAGTTGAAACTTTGACCTGCTGTTGGCATTAAGGTTAAGTCAGAGGATCACCCAGAGGTTGCGTAGAATTAATATTTTCCGTCATTGACATCATTTTTAAACAATGACGGAACAAGGCCTTCCGTCATTTTGACAAATCAAAACACTGAGGATGATCTACTGTAACTTTAAGTATTTCACACCCCTGTCCAGTTGGTGGTGTGTACATATTAATTAGCTATAGTCTAGTCTTGTCTTTGATCTCACATGCGTGAATTCGTTGTCTGGTTGGCTTTGGCTATTGCATTGGTAGGCTATATCGCTACATACCATTGCAAAACATCACGGCATCTGAGTGTCCTAAGTTTCTTTGAGCCCAATAATTGTATTGGCGCTGATAAATAGAGTGGAAAAAGGGAGACTGATGCGGTGGAGCATGAAGGACAAGCAAGTATTACTGAATAGAGAACACATGGTCAGTGTCTCTATTCATCTTTTCCCTTCATGCCTTTGTACATGTATAATCTATATTATTTCAAAAAATGAAAATGAATGACTGAAAATCAAATGCTGTTAAATAAGTATTATTATCATTATTATTATTAAAAAATCAAATTAAAATTACTGGTAATTATGATATTTATGAATTTTTACAACCCTGTCTGTCAAAATGACGGATAATGAGATAGACTAACACAACCTCTGGTATCACAAACAGTCGATAGGATTCATCTTCTGGTGATTGTGAATATCTTGACCAAATTTTACAACAAACCATCTCATAGATATTGAGCATAGCGTTAGTTCAGTCAGGACATGATGTCAAGCTCAATTCACATCCCAGTTACATCAGCTGATCTCAAACAGCCCAATCAACTGATGGAGCAGCTGCCTGATGGAAGGGAGTCAGCTGATAGATAAAATGATTCCTTTCTATGCAACCAATTGGTGATTCTCATTCAGGGAGCCCTATTTAAACTGCTCTGGCCTGCCTACTGTTGCTACTTCCTCTGCAAGCCACTTTGCAACCTGCCTCCACCCCAGCTCCTCCTTTTCATGCTGTCTGACTTGTCAGTGTCTTTTCTGTTTGTCATTGATGCTGCTCTGTTCTGTTCCCAGTGGGTCTTTGCTGCTGCTCTCCCTGCCTTAGGCTTTCCACGTAGGCACATGGAAGGGCAGGGAGGTTTGCTCTCTGCCTCAGGCTCTCCTCGTTTGCACATGGAAGGGCGGAGAGGTTTGCTCTCTCTGCCTTTCTGCATAGGCCTGAAGAAAGGCAAAGAGGCGCCAGAGCCATAACGCCAAATATAACACTGCAAATAAAGTAATAAAGTTGTCTTTGACTAAAGTGTTCCTGACTGAAGTAGATATATTTCAATGGACACATGAAAAGTTAAAACTTTGACCTGCTGGTGGTGTTAGATTAAAAGTCAGGTGATCACCAAAGTCCTTAGGATTCATCCTCTGGTGAGTGTCTTCACCAGATTTTATGACATACATCTAATGGTTGAGATGTTTCAGTCTGAACCAAGCGGCTGACATTGCTGCAAGCATTGCTAAAATTAAAGGTGACAAACTGCTCACACTGATGGATATCAACAATAAAAAAGTACACATAATTTGTATTTAATGGGCTTCAAATGTGCAAAATCATTGTTCTGAGTGTTTTGAGTTTGTTCTTGGTGAAGTTTGGATGTTTGACAGCACTTTTTTAAACAATGTAAGCCGCACCTTTCATCTAAAAATACACGCATCACATCGGCCGTAAACACAAATAGTTGCTACGACACAAAGAGCATCAAATCTCTGCTGTATCACACAAATTATGATCATAATTACTGTGGTGTCTCATGTCTTCACTGGCAGCAGCATCAGTTAAATATAACCTCTTATCTCATTGTGTAACGTCGTTAAGGTGTCAGAGAAACTTTACCCGGTTTTGAGGCTTTCTAGAGCTTCTTCCACCCCCTTCTGGTTGTACTTCATCATGTGTGTGTGCATGTCGGGGTAGTTGCTGCGGATGTTCCTCTCCGTGCTCCCGTTTGGGACCGTCCCGAAGCGGAAAGGAGGGTAATGCTCCTGTGGTTTCTGGAACTGTGGGGAGACAGAGGATGAGAGGGAAGGGAAGAGGAGGAGAAGATATGAGAGATGAGGAGAGGGAGGCGAGGGAATAGAGGGAAGTAAGAGAAGGAGAGGTTCGGTGTGGAGGAGGAGGGAGGGGGAGAGAAGGGAGTAAGGATAAAATGGAAGGAGAGGAAAGAGACTGAAGGGAGCGAGAGCAGAATAGGGGAAGGTGGGAGAGAGGAGGAGACGACAAAGAGAAAGAGGGATGAGGGAGATGGGAGGTGGTGAGGAGTGAAGAGTGAGAGAAGAGGAGGGGGAGAAGAGGGGAGTAAATGAAAGACAAAAAAGAAAAGAGGGAGGAAAGAGATTTTCAAAAGAAGCAAGGAAAACAATGGAACAAAGTAAGGATATGAGGAGGAAGGAAGGAGGGAAAGAAGACAAAAGGAGGCAGGAATGAAAGGAGTAAGGAGAAGGAAGGCAGGAAGAAAGGGGAGAAGGTAGGAGGGGGGAGGGAAGTAAATGAGAGAGAAGGAACAAAAGAAAGAGGAGAGGAGATAGTAAAAGGAAATGAAGGGAAAGGAGAGCGAAAAGAAAAAATGGGACAGGAAAGCAAAAATGGAGAGATGAAAGGAGAAAAGAGGAGAAAAGAGAGGAGGAAATAAAAGGAAAGGAGGAGAGAATAAAAGGAAAGAGACAATGAGAAAAGAGGAGAGGAGATAAAAAGAGAGGGAATAAAAGGAAACAGGAAAAGAGGAGAAACAATGAATGAAAAGGAAGGGGGGAAGAGAGAAAAGAAATGGGATAATAGAGGAAAAAAAGAGGAGGAAAAGCGATTAAATTAAAAAGGAGGGGAAGAAAAGAGGAAACAATTGGAGTAAGGAGGAGAATGGGGAGGAAAAGGGGAAAGAGAAAAGAGAAGAAGAAATGAAATGAGAAGAGTAAAGAAGACAGGAAAGTAGGAGAAACGATGAAAGGAGGAAAGAGGAGAGGACAGAGATGAAAAATGGGGAAGAAAGGAAAGGAAAGTGGAGGACAGAAGAAAAGAGAAAAGAAAAGGAGGGGCAAAAAAAGAAATAGATGAGAAAAGAGGGGAGGAAAGGAAATAAAAATAGTAAAGACGACAACAAAGGAAAGGAAATACGTAAAGATGAGATGAGAAATGAGAGGAGGGACGGAAATTGGAGGACAGGAAAATAGGGGGAATGATGAAAGTAAAAAAGAGAGGACAAAGAAAGAGATGAGAAAAAAGGAAAAGAACAGAAAGGAAAGGAAAGGAGAGAGGAAAGAAGAAAAGAGAAAAGGAAAGGAGAGGGAAGAGGAGAAATAAAAGAAGAAATATGGAGGTGAAAAAAGAGGGAAGGAAAGGAAAGACGAGAGGAGAAAGGAGGAGATGAAGGGGAAAGAGGGGAAGAAAAGAGATAAAAAGATGGGAAACAAGAGGAGAAGAGAAGAAAAGAAAATAAATGAAAGAGAAAAAGGAGACAAAAGGAGGTGAGAAAAGAGGGGAGGAAAGTACATAAGGGAAGCGGAGAGGAAAGTAGGAGAAATTAATGCAACGGTTGGAGGAGAGGGGAGAGGATGAGATGAGAAAAGAGGAAGAAAGGGGAAAGGTAACCATAGGAGAAAAGAGAAGAAAGGAAATAAAAAAGGAGAAAAGAGAAGAAAGGAAATAAAAAAGGAGAAAAGAGGAGAGGAAAGGAAATGAGGAGGGGGAGAGGAAGTAAAAGAAAAGGAAAAGTGAAAAAGACAGAGGAGCCAAAAGGGGGTCCAGAATGAAGAGATGAGGAGGAGAGGAGTAGAGAGGACGAGGGACTACTCAGTTAAATGAAATCCATTTCAGAGTCAGAGTGATTTAATCAGCAGTCAGACTCCATGCTGTTTGAATGGGGCAAGATACCATTCAGCTCACCTCAATTAGATTCAATCTGATATCAGTCAGCACATTTTGAATCAGCCCGCTGCCCACACATGATCCTAATCCAGCTCAATCTGGACCCGATCGATGTTTACATCTCACCAGCTGACGCATTAATGCAGGCTGAGGCAGAAACCACTGTAAACAGGAATCATCTATTCATCTTACGTTACACCACTGACCTTTTGAGCCGAGCGCAAATGAATGGGCCAATCAGAATGTGACAGTGAGTGGGTGAGTGTATGTGTGTTAATACGATCGCTCCTCAGCTGCCACTGCAGTGGGTTCAGCTGCATTTTTTTTAGAATCAGCTGTTCGAACAAAAGCCCAGAGGGAAGATAAGACATTAAAAAATAGGGTCTCATTTTTTAAAATCTCTCTCAACACAATGCTCACATGTATGTTCAAAGTATTATTAGTTGTAATTGTTTAGCCTCCGAGAAAAAAAAAAAAACTTCATTCACTGGGCCGACTGCCGGCGACTTTTAAGGTGGAACGTTAACTTGTAATGCTACTCAATGCAGGAGGTGACGACGTGAATCCATCAGCACACCTTAAATTTCACTGTGACAACTTTGACCATCACTTTAGTTTTTATATGACAGACACTTTTAGTAATGAGTGGATCTTCAAGTGTTTATATATATTAATTTCGACCCAGACAGCATATATCCCAATCTTCACTCTGAGAAAAGAAAGTGTGGCAGAGCGTTGTTCCTGTGGGCTCCAGCAACACTAAACCCCTGAGCTTGCCTGAGAAGGACTAAATGCACAAACCCACTATTTTTAAATATCCCATGGAGAGAGACTCTCACTGCAGCCTGTTTTATTTTATTCTGAAAATGTCGGCGTGCAGCCTCGTTCTGTGGACGATAAACGAGGTGCAGACTTCCATCTGTGTCACCGGTAATGAGGAAATACAGTGAGTGACAACAACCCCGCCCACATTTAACCCTATGGGCCCTAGGTGTTTTTGGGGTATTTTTACTGCCTTTACTTTTAAGCTCATATCACAGTCTTTATAGAGGCTACATATGTTCTACAACAAATTTGCAGGAAAGCTCAATCAGTCTTTTTTCAGCATTTGCAGTATAAAAAAATAGGGGAGTGTGGCAAAATGCCGCCTACCTACTTTTGTTTATACAGAATGTGCCTTTTTCGGGGCAATGGGGGGCGTGAGCATGTAACAAAACGTGTAGCCCAGCGTGTGACGTGCTCCGAGGGAAGCCGCGGCTGGTCAGTCCTTCGGCAATTCTCTCGTAAGTTGGCCCGTCCTTCACCATCCTCGTGATTTGATGGTTAATGGCCTCCTCGTTTGCGAGGGCAAGGAGGGTGCGCAATTCTTGTCTCCCCAGTTGCTCATCTTTACTGTGTCTTTCAGGTTTGCGTTTCCCTCTTGCTACTAGCTGTTTGCTAATTCCTGCTATCAGCTGTTTCCTGTTAGTCCACCGCCAGTGGGTCTCACATGTGGTGTCATCAACAGCCCCTCCCACAAGTCATCAACAGCCCCTCCCGTGGCGGAAGGCCGACTACCCTACGAGGCGGAAAATTGGGCACCTCGGATCAACTCACCAATCCGGCTCTGTGTGTCTAAACGCTCGCAGCTTGCCGGAAAAACGGCCCAACATTCGCGGAAAATCTGGCAGTATAAAAGGGGCTATAGAGATCAGATGCCCTCACCCAGGCGACCCAGCTGGGGATGATCAGTAGTTCACCACAGGGCCACCCTACCTTAGCCAGAGCCAACTAAATTGCGCAAGGACACCCTCAGAATCTGTCGTTGAGCTGTGATTCTCATTAGTTGAGTCTTCATTAAATACTGTGTGATCCATCCAAGTCTCCCGAGATCTTCTTCAGCTATCAAATCATCAGCTCTGAAAGTTCTTCAGCAGTCTGAGTTAGACACCTCTAGTAAACACAATCTGCCTATTTTGATCACGTGTTTTTACTTGTGAGCCACATCACAAAGCATATCCCCATTTGACTTGTGATGAACAGGGTCCTCTAAACCTGAAACACAGCAGAGCGTCTCCCAAACCGTTTGTCCTGCATGTTAAAGATCTCTCCCTGCTCCAACACAGCTGATTTGAATGATCAGCTCATTATCAGGCAGCTTCAGGAGTTCATAACGAGCTGATCATTTGAATCAGCTGTGTTGGAGCAGGGAACGATCTTTAACATGCAGACATGTGAAAATGCATTATATGTGTATCAGTCCACTGAAAATAGTGCCCCAACAAATACAGATTTGATGCCTGTTAGAGGAACTGTGAGGTTCAGGAAAACATTATATATATTTTAACATATTGCATTATAATATTTTACAGGTCCATAATTTCTGGATAATTTCCTAATAATGTGTAAAGTAATATGTAATTCGAGGCAACCAGAAAAATACAGAGAGGTCAGTTCACACTATTCTGATTAATTGATGCTAATTGACCTTTCGCTAAGCCCCGCCCCTTCGTGATGGTCCGACAAGCTGTCAGAGTAAGCATGGAGCCCACACTAGTCGTGTTTCCATTACAGTTTTACGCAAAATAAATGCAATATTTCTAAAGTTTCGAAAAAGTACAATTGCGACTTGCAGGTGTTTCCATTAAAAGGTGTTTTGTGTATGAGCCGTAATTCTCGTAAAATCTCGTCCAGCGAGTCTCCACTTTTTTTGCGGAAGTAAGATGGACATTCCAAATCTCTTGCGAGCTGGAACAATCATCTCGGTTGCCACTGCTGCTGTTGCAGTAGTCTACAGCCGAAGACAAAGACAGCGAGTGGTATTCCAAAGGCAAAGTCCTTATGTGCGGCAGCGACCACGGAAGGATTTCTGGGAGAGGAACGAGGAATTCACAGAGAACTTGAATGTCCGGTGACGTAACGTTATAGTTGCAAAAAAAGTGTTTTCATTACACTTTTGCGATATCCTTCTATATCGACACATCTGAAAAACCACCATGAGAGCGTAAAAACTTTTTCTCGATATTTGAGTTTTTTCGAAATGTAGGTGTTTCCATTACCTGTTTTTTATTGCGATATTTAGGTTTTGCGCGTTTCTAGGGTTAATGGAAACACACATACTGTCACTAACTGCACTCCCTGAGGAAAGATTATCATATTATTAGAAACAGTGATTCTGGAGAGAAGCAGACAGAGGGGTCTACAGTCTGTGTTTGAAGGATATATCCAGGATGTCAAACTGACTCAGCAGCAACAACAGGTTAAAAAGACAAAGATAGTTAGAAGCTAAAGCCGAACTATAGGCTACAGTTCACAGTGTAAAAGTGAACCACCACATCACTGCTGATCGACACACAAGACAATGAATATAAAGGGAAACTTCGCTGATATTGAACCAGCTGTGTGGCATCACAGTGTGTGCAGATGGACGATGTTTGAAAAAGTACTTTTATTTGACTTCATCTTGAAGGCTGTGGGCGAGTCTTTTGTCTCTCGTCCGTTCATGGTTTATTAGTAAATCTGATTTGTCTGAAAGTATTCTGAGTCGGGTGCAGCCATGGACTCTAAGAGACTTCTGAAATGTTACTGAACTGAATCGATCAAATCCCGATAGTGAAATGAGTCATTTTCTTGGGGTTGTGACTCTCAAAAAAATGTATGCACTGATTTACAGACATCTACTTCACAATGCAAGTCTATGGGAAAAAGTGTTTTTGAGCCCAGCAGCATCACGTGATGGACCCCGTTTTTACCGAGTTTTATTTCCACAGTTTGGCCACTACGAAAATTGGCCTCAAAGCCCAGCACTGTTCTTAGGGGCTTGCTAAAACCAAGTGTGACATTTAGCCACGTTGTTAATAATAACTGAATATTTACTTGGGATTAAATACAACTATGTGGTTAAAAGACCTATTTTCTGAACAGTTGGAACCGATACAAAAATCAATACAGCATAGTATCGCGATATTTTGTGTTGCAATATCGTCACACAGTGCTAAGTGTCGTTTTTTTAATTAGATTAATTACAAATACGACAAATACAAGTGAAACCATAGGACAGCCTACGAGAATAATATAATCAGTTGCTTTTTCAGTCCACTAGATACATTTTGCTGCTACAAAGAAAATGGCTGAGGTGAGATGGACAGACTGAAAACTTTATCTTATTGCATAAAACAGATGTGGACAAACTTTTCCTTTGGGGACATAATTTACACCTTAAAAAAGTTAATAAATCGCAATATATCACAATATATTTTAACACATATCGCAACATATTTAAAATCGCAATCATATTGTATCGTGACTTAAGTATCGTGATAGTATCATATTGTGGATCTTCTTGTGATTCCCACCCCTCCAGTCTGGTAAAATGAAGCACTGCCAAAATGACATGTTCAGACAGGAGCTGCTCATTAATTGATGGTGTTTTATGCTGCTGGTGTTTTCATTCTTTCTTTATTTGGGTCTGTTTGGTTTGACCACATTTTGAATTAGGTCTGATTATCCTCGGGTCCCTCACGGATACGCTCATCAGGTTTGTGATGGTTTTCCGCAGTTCTATTTCAGATCAAGACTTTGAATATTGAGAAACGGAATTAACACATTGATTTTTGTCTTTTTAATGGCATTTATCGACAATGAGAAAAATATAGAGGTTACCTTATCTTTTAAACCTGCCAGATGTGAACCCAGCCAGCCTACAACCTAAACCCGCCTTAATCCTCTGTCGTGTAGGTTCTCAGAATTAAGGGGCAGCTGAGGTTGTGTTGTGCAGGGTAATTTATATTAGTCCCTCGTGCTGTGGGACATAATGCATCTGCATAAAGTTAATACAGTCAGCTAATATAACCATAGATCACTGTGGTGGCGCTGCTGATCCCTGCCGGGGAGTTGTTTTCGCTATCTGTGAAGAATAAAATGCTTTCCTGCAAAGCTCCTCTGAGGCCCCATTTCCAGCTTTAGTGTGTGTGTGTGTGTGTGTGTGTGTGTGTGTGTGTGTGTGTGTGACATATTTAAGTGGTAGAGAGAGTCTGTGGGTGTTGTTTTTCCTCTGTGGCTTGACTGTTTTTAATCGCCTGACATTTCGCGATCTTGTTTTAACAGTGTGAGCGAGTCGAGAGATGGAGACGGCACAGGGGGAATATTGATAGACAGACCGAAATACTGACAGGACGAGTGGAGACTCAGACACCATCTGTATTGACAGAAGGCGGTAATTGATTAGTCATTCATGCCACTGGGCTCCCCACTGATAGGAAAGGGACAGAGACATTCACAACAAAGTCCTTTTATTTGACTTCATCTTGAAGGCTTTGGGCGAGTCTTTTGTCTCTCTTCCGTTCATGGTTTGTTAGTTGATGCAGAGTGATGAACAGAGCAAAGACGAGATGATGTAGCTGGATTTGAACACAAAGACGGGGTCCGCTCCGTATCTCAGAGCTCCACAAAAACAGCCTGCTTTCTGTATGTCTGTGTGGACTTTCAGTAGCCGTCCCGCCTCATAATCACTCTGAGGTTATTATTCCGAGTGTGTTTATTCAGTCTCTTACCTTCTTGTCAGAGAGCCCGGACACGGTGTCGATATATTGCTCCTGAATCATGAAGGCAGCCAGGTTGGCAGTGTATGAGGCCAGGAAGATGACAGCAAAGAAGGCCCAGACCAGGACCATGATCTTACTGGTCGTTCCTTTGGGGTTTTCAATGGGGACCGAGTTGTTGAAGACAATGCCCCACAGCAGCCACACCGACTTCCCGATGGTGAACGTCGGACCACCAGGAGCTGAGGAAACAGAGGGTGCAGGGAATCAGACGGGTTGTTTCTGGTTAACTGGAGACGTCTCTAGCCCAGAGTGAGAAAAGAAAGGGCTCTGTAGGGAGATTTCTTTTGAGAATCATGTCCAAAAGGACGGTTGAGTGCTTACGGAGTTTCAAGATAAACTCAAGAAACAAATACAAGTACACTTGACTTTTTCATAAATGTTAAAAAACATAATTTCCTCTCCTCTTTCTTCTCTAGACATGCAAATAATTTTGGTTTTATTCACCTGGATTTTGGGATCACTAAGAGCCTCTGCTTGAATACAAGAGGTGAATGGATCTTTGTTTTTGGTGTTCAAGCTTTGAAAAATCACGTTTAAAAAAAAATAGAAAGCCAATTCAAAAACATGACAATACAAAACAAAGGAAATGTGCTGCAAATGAAAAAATGTGCTGCAGAAAGTGAAAGCACATATTAACAGCAGACACGATGCAATGTCAGAAATAGGGATGGGCATCAATTTTCAATTATCGATGATTGATTGTTAAGGATTTTGATCGATCACAAATAATTTTGCTCGACAGTCGCAGTGTTTCGCCTACAATGCTACAGGCCCGGTGAGCCGCCATGCCTATGAGACCCCCTGCCGGACCTATGCCAGGCAAAAAATCATAAACAGACGGAGGCTCTCATCGCTCTCCAAAGCCTCGGCGGCTTCTCTTGAGGCCTCTGAAAACACTACGCCATTGAAAGATGGAGGTTTCGCTGAAAACAGAGGCCTGTAACTCCTGGCTGGCAACGGTTGTAAACACCCAGGGGTGAACTGCACATGCGCGCCATTCTTCCTCTTTGACCTGGGGGGTTGAAGCTCAAAACTGGGGCAGCTGCGCTCTCTTGCGGCGACAGTCTGCACTGCACTCTTTTGTTTTCTCTCCTTTGAAATACTCGCTTATCAATTAATCGATAATTGATCGCTAATTTTTTTGATGATCGAATAATGAATTTTGATCTTTTGCCCATCCCTAGTCAGAAACACAAAACTTTGACGACAAATTCTGTAGATCCAGTTAACACAACAGAAGTTCTCCAGGCCTCTAGGGGGAGCTACGTAAATATGTTGCTCTGTTATAATACTGTAAAAGATGAAGGCCAAATGTAAAAAAGAAAATGTACCTTTTTATGTCTTTTTCTACCCGCTTCAAAAACAAACACACTCTCTTGTCTGATCTTTCTTTCTCATGTTAAAAATCAAGCTGTTCCACCTCGCGCTCCCTCCGGAGGCCTGGAGAATTTCCGTTGTGTTGACTGGATATGCAGCGTTGTTCTTTCACATTTGTTTTTGGGGTTTGTGTGTTTCAACTTTGCAATGTTTCTGTATTTGCAGCCTGTTTGCTTTGGCTTTCTGCAGAACGTTTTTTTTTTTTTCATTTGCAGCATGTTGCCGTTATTGTATTTGTTTGTTTTTGTTTTGGGCCACTGTAGCACATCTGCCGCTCTCAGCCCCCACAGGCTATATATTAACAGAACAATAGATAGAATACAAAATCGGTACAAATACTAAAAATTAAAGTGTTTTCTCTTGTAACAGCTTTGGTTAAGGTTCGGTTTGGTTTGGTTTAGGCACAAAATCAGTTTGCTTAAGGTCAGGGAACGATCACCGTCATTGTGAAAAGAAACCACTGTTGATTATTTAGTAGCAAACAGTGGTTTCCAGTGTCATGGTTGGACATTTTGTCGAACCATCCAACCACCCCGACCCTAATCTTGGAACCAATCGGCTATTGATCTGACAACAATACTCCTGTGGGGGCAGAGGGAGTTCCAGTGTAGCCACTGGACATCTGAGCCAAGACTTCCTCTTCTGCGCACTGTTCATTTCTGCTAACCTCTATAAAGAGACACCTTCATATGAATGCAGATTAATAAATACAACAGCTAATAGAAAGCTAAATCGTTGACACACCTGATGGGTTAAAAACTGCATTTCGGTCGTTGTGATTCACCTCTCCAAAGGGATTGTTTACCTGCCACTCACACACTGGTCAATACTACTTGGTCTACTTGAACTACAAACGGAAGCCAGAACACTTTTGACACCAAAATCTTGTACTGTTGCCCACAGATCAAGTGCGGATATCTGTTTATAGAGATTATCCTGACCCTGTTTTGTGGATTTTGTTGCACTGTAACAGCATCATACTACTTCCTGCTTTGGCCCTCGTAATTCCTCGTAAATGTAGACACATGTTGTTATTAAGTCATTAGCTGCTTGGGATGACAGCTTTGTTTCAGCTGGAACTATTTTTTCCATAGAAAGTAGAAAACTGTAGCAGAAATCGATCCAAAAGCAAAAATCAGTTCATGGCTAGATGACTCTAGAGGTAACTGAGAAAATCTGTTGGGTGAAACACCCTTTAAGTCTAGAGCTTTTGCCACAGATGTATTGACTGTCAGTGTGATGACTAGAAGTCACATATTTGTTTCTACACGCTCTCTCATGAAGCAAAACATGTCCACTGTTCACCGTGTCAGTATTCATGATCCATCTCGCACCTTCCAAACAACAGAACAATTTCACAGCCTCAGCTGGTTTTCCATCGCTCTCTGCCACCGTAGCTCATGTGCAGCAACGGAGGGTGCCACCGCCATCAATCACACTTCGATTAGTGCGGCGACGAATGCTAATTAAAACAGGAAAATGACCTTTCGGACCCGGAGACGAGGCACGCTCTGTCAGCGCTGCATTCTGGGATTGATGAGCCCTCTCCCCAAAAACCCTGTTGAGGAACTCTTAACGTTGCAGGTCTCGAATTAAGAACATTTCATGGATCTTTGTTTGAATTTTACAGCTTCTGGCTTGTTTTTTTAATAACATAAATACAAATACGTAAAATTATTTGGGCCAGAAAACAGCAGACACTGACAGAATATGATACACACGGGAATCTGTGGGATAAATATGGACATCACTTGAGCTTGTCGTGATGATGCTGCAGTGATCGTTCTCTCCTCTATCATCCACTGTACTCAGGACGGATAAACTCTGCCAGCAGCAGTGAAACAAAGAGGTTTGAAACTCACCTTTGGCGCTGACTAGACTGCGGTTGTAGCCGACTGGACTGAAGTATTCAAACACAAAAACTGTCACCGCCACCACAGTGAGGCACATCACAAACATCATGACCCAAACTGCTGGGCTGTAGGGCTCTGGAGGAGGAGGAGAAGTGAAGGAACAAACATAAAGGATTAAAGTAAGTCTCTTTTGTACTTCCCGCTTCTAAACCTCAGCCTGTCACGGGGGTCACCATATGTGGTAGGAGGATAGCAGGATGAGGAAACCAGAAGACAGAAATACACTGTTCGGGATTTTGTGCTGAATTTTGTTGTTTGGGGTTTTGGAAAAGGGATTTAGGTGTGTGTGCGGCACGTAAGGGGATTTAGTTGTAGGCTACAGTTATCGGCGGGATAAAAGCTTAATGGGAAGTTTCCTGAAGCGTCTGCAGAGACAGAACTCATTTAAGTAGGCCATCCTGGGAGAAAGTGGTGAGGAGGAAGATGGCAGCAACATCGGCTGACATGTACTATACATCAGACTCCAGGATAATGGATGTTATGTCAGGTTTGAACAAAGTTTGGTAGTGAAGGTAGGAACATGCACTGTGCTCTGTGTCTGTGTCCGCCTCACTTAAAGACACCTTTGCTCTGTCTGGGACAGACTCACACTAAAAAGCTGAGGACAGTAACTGCACTTTATTTGAGGTGGAAAAGTTAACATTTGCGTGGACAATAAGTCACACGATCATGAGGTTTATGCCTGATCAGAGGTGTTTTCAGTTAGTTTCGGTTTTCTACCTCCGCTCTCCGCTACCTCAGAATGCAGGAAACGAAGTGTTTGACGCTCAACATTTCATAATCTTCAGGCTACTTGCTTTATGTGTTGTTGAAACAGAACCTATGCCCTTGCTTTGAACTAACTCATGTCTGTAGGAGAAGCAGTTGTTTTATTCTTACCAAGAAAGGCAGATGGGGAAACCGTCCCGTTGCTGCGGGCTACCATGACGCTGATGCCTGTCTCAACAAACGGCACGGAGAAGTCGATGATTTCCGAGCGTTCCTCATTGATAGTGAGAGAGCCAATGGCCATGTCAGCTCGTCGGTACACGACCTGAACAACAGAGTATAAACGTTAACACTGTAGAGAAACACTGCAGTGTAAAAACATGCCTTCCTGTATTTATTCTGCATTTGAACCAAACTATTTTTGGCTACTGAATAATTCTGTAAAATAGACCTGAGTGAGTTTATTTCATCACAACAACTTCACAGCGTCCCAGAGGACGGGCTGCCGAGCTCTTCTTTGCTGAAAAGAGAGCAAATTCTGAATTTCATGAGCAATCCTTTTCGAAACATGGAAGTCACAATGCAGCAAACACTTTGAGCTCCACAGTGAGGCGTGACTCTAATGACGACTGTCTGCAGAGATACGAAAAATATTTGTCTCATCATCCGAGCATCCGGAGAGAGAGAGCATGCTGCATCTCGGGAGTGCTCACATCCAAAGCTTGCTTTTCTGAAAAGCAGAAATTTTTGCAGGGGAGAAATATGTTTTTATAAATGTAGCACACACACACACTCTCTCTCTCTCTCTCTCTCACACACACACACTCTCACACACACTGTCACACACACACACACACACTGCAGATACAGACCCAGAGCAAAGCGCCTGCAGGCACAGAAACACAAGCAAGAAGGCTCTCCTGAGGAACACCTGTTCGGGGTGTTTCACTTTCAGATGCTGCTGCGTTTGATGTGGCTCGGTGTGTGGGAGAAAAGTGTGTATTAGGCTCCGTATGTATATGCATGGCCTCACACCACTGACCTAGATAAAACCCATCAAAGAAACTCTCTCGGCCATGCAACGCTAGTGTCACTTAAGACACCGTGCATCATTACTACCATCCACCAACTGCACTGAAGCACAGAGGTGGAGTGAATACTGTACCGTCTGTACACTTTAAGGTACTTAAACCACTCCATCTGTGTCACAGCTGTACAACTAATTTCATATTTTACAACTAAAACATCTTGATGAAATATGTTCGATAGAAACCAGGGTCTGAAATGCAGGTAAACTGTTGGCAGCAGCATGTGAAATCAGACGAGCCGCCACTTTGGTGGACACAGAAAAGAAACAACAGCAAGACATGTCGTAAATAGTAAAAAAAGAAGAAGACTGGTTGCTCTGTTTATACAAGCATGGATCAAAATCTTGTGTCGGGTGCTTGTGGAGACCGGGAAACAACAGCATCGACAGTAAGGCAACCCAGGCACTCCGAAAACATATAAAAAGATGAGGAAGGAAATATTTAAAAGCCTTAATTATAGTGGCTTTCAAAGAGCCAACATGTTTCGACCACTACAAGTCTTCGTTGTAACTTTCAAAACATACAACACATGTATGGCCCCACCTATATAGTGGCAAGAACCAATCAGAGGCCATCACATGATCCATATAACGGCATGACAGGTGACATTAATAGACAATAATGGAAAAAAATAAGTTAATAAAAACCTCTGTGAGTGACATGAGATAAGATACACAGTTCCAGTGCCTGGATTGCCTTCCTGTCGATCATATCGTAACCAGTAATGTAATACATTACATTTAACTAGTTACCTTTATTTGAAGATAACATGTTGCTTTACAATATTCCTGTCTGTGTAGAGTTATGCGTACTGATTACACTACTTTTGTTTTGTTGTCACAGACATAACCTCAGAAGTACAACTAGGCATTGTAAAATGAAAAAGGGGAAAATTTTTTACTTTGTCTCATCAAAAATAAATCAGCTTCTTATTTGGAGATTTTTAAATTCTAACCTGTCTCTCCTAACCCTGCCTTGGGATAATTAAGGAGCAAAAGAATAAATGAGTTCTTTTGCTGTGCTTGTAGGCTTCTCAGAGGATCTCGACTCTGAGAACAGATAAAACACACAGAGCTGACTTGAATTTGATCACTGAGACACATTTCTGAAACTGTGCAGGCTCACCAGGATGACATTACCAGAAGATGTCTTTGTCATGACAACTTGACATTAAATTTGTTTGGGATGTCCTTATTATGACAACTTGACATTACCCAGGATGACATTACCAGGAGATGTCTTTGTCATGACAACTTGACATTAAATTTGTTTGGGATGCCCTTATTATAACAACTTGACATTAACCAGAATGACATTACCAGGAGATGTCTTTGTCATGACAACTTGACATTAAATTTGTTTGGGATGTCCTTATTATGACAACTTGACATTACCCAGGATGACATTACCAGGAGATGTCTTTGTCATGACAACTTGACATTAAATTTGTTTGGGATGTCCTTATTATGACAACTTGACATTAACCAGAATGACATTACCAGGAGATGTCTTTGTCATGACAACTTGACATTAAATTTGTTTGGGATGTCCTTATTATGACAACTTGACATTAACCAGGATGACATTACCAGGAGATGTCTTTGTCATGACAACTTGACATTAAATTTGTTTGGGATGTCCTTATTATGACAACTTGACATTAACCAGAATGACATTACCAGGAGATGTCTTTGTCATGACAACTTGACATTAAATTTGTTTGGGATGTCCTTATTATGACAACTTGACATTAACCAGGATGACATTACCAGGAGATGTCTTTGTCATGACAACTTGACATTAAATTTGTTTGGGATGTCCTTATTATGACAACTTGACATTAACCAGGATGACATTACCAGAAGATGTCTTTGTCATGACAACTTGACATTAAATTTGTTTGGGATGTCCTTATTATGACAACTTGACATTAACCAGGATGACATTACCAGGAGATGTCTTTGTCATGACAACTTGACATTAAATTTGTTTGGGATGTCCTTATTATGACAACTTGACATTACCCAGGATGACATTACCAGAAGATGTCTTTGTATCAATCATTATGTCAACTTGTCATAAACACAAAAACGAGGTGCATTTCTTGTTAATGTAACTTCTGGTAATGTCACTTTGATTAATGTCAAGTTGTCATAATCAAGACAACCCAAACAATGTTAACTTGTCATTACAAAAACCAAATGACACTTAATGACAGCAGTCATAAACGTTTATGACATGTACATAATTTTCATGACAGGTTCATGACCATGTTATGTCATATTTATGACAGTGTTATGTCACTCTTATGTAGATACCTTCAAGTAAAGTGTTACCGAAATGTCTACTGTATGACCATTTGTTCATGTGTCGTGTGAGGTACATTGTTTAGTTTTTGTCTGCTGTTTTTTGTTAGTTATGATGGAGTGATGCTGTTTGTTTGCACATTAGTTGTGTTGTAATCACCACCTGCTGACACTGAACTCCACTTCTAAATGTCAAAAGTGACAAGAAATTACAGGAAAATTATGAATAATTAACTTTTTTTTTTTTTAAAGAGAAAAGGTCCCCACTAGAGGTGGTACCTTGATCTCAAGTGTAGATTATTTCAGATATTTACTTCTGGTTTCTTACATTATTGTCTGTTTGTCATGTTTTCTGGACATGTATCATTGGAGATGATTTATTATGGTTTTTATTACACTAAAGCCTCCTTTCAGTATTTTTGTCAAGTGTTTGAACTAGTATTAGTGAGACTGAAACCATGAGTGTTTTTATACACTCTCTGTTACGTGTACAATATCACTTATGACCTGTTTATACATATATTACTGGAGGGTGATCCTTTGTGAGCTCTATGAAGTTCTCCTGCCTTTGAATATTTAGGTTTAACTTTATCCCCACTGTCAAATCCTTTTGTTAGTTAGCATGGGTTATACACTTCACAAATATTTCAGTTTTATACACATGATGCATTGTTGTTCATTCACACATTGTTTTTTGTCCTTATCATACATATCTTATAATTTTCAGTTCCTGCCACTCTATGTGCAGGTTTGTCACAATATATATAACAATTATTATTTTATTTCATGGTTGTTTCCTTTTTATTTATTCGGCATTGAACATTTTTTCTTGTTACTAAATATGTTCATTATTTATAGTATACATTTATGTCAGGTTCATTTGCAATTTCTGTTAATGTGGTTTACTACTTAATGTGGTCTAGTAAGGCTATACCTGAATATTATATGACCTGTTTCCAATGCATTTTACACCCTGATGAAGACTCTCTAGTCGAAACATGTTGGTTATCCATGTGTTAATAAAGGATTTTTAACTACAGTCAGAGTGCCTGTTTGTACTATGGACGTTTACACTGAGTGAGCTGGCCAGTCGAAAAACTGGCATGTTTAATCTTCATAACGATGTTTATTTTCTCCATTATCTAAAGAGAACTTCATCTCCATTTGTTGGAGGAGCATGTAAAACTGAACACAAAAACTGGTTTTTAAATCTCATCCTTCTCCCTCTTGATGGGGCCGGTGATTTAAAGCTACTTTAAAGATTTGAAAGCTGGTCTATCTCTCTGTGAAATTAAACTCAAACTGAAGGATCTGGTGGCAGCTGTGTTGTTGTTAATATCATATTAGACTCTACAGTGAAGGAGCACTTACATTAAAACTTTCATTTATTCTTTTTTGAGGTGGATAATTACCACCCAACTCTGTACTTCCTTCCAGCCCTATGGAGCGTTTTAGGTTACACTGAAGCATCAAGCTGTGAAAGAGCCACAAATTTCCCTCAGGAGTTGGTGGAGACCAAAGCAGAGCCAAAAGGGAGTGAATGTTGGACTTTGTCAGGTGGCCAGACCCACAGCCTCAGATGATGACTGATAACGTTGCTCCGTGCCTCCTGGATTAGTAAATAAGCAACCGTTTGCTCACACGTTTGCCAAAAAACTTTATGAAGTGATATTATGTCAGTGTTGTGTTTACAGTTTGCTGTGCTGCCCCCAAGAGGCCGTCAATTAATTCAGTTTTAAAGGGGACCTATATGCTCATTCTCATTTTCTGCCATATATACATATGTTACAGTGTTTCATGTTGATATCAAATGTGGCCAAAATTCAAACAATGTATGTAAAATAATCCCTGAGAGCAAAAACCTCTGGCTTTCCAAATCTCAATCTGTTTCCAGTGTTGTTTTTCGACTTTCAAGACAAACTGACATCAGGTCGCATAGCCTGCTCTCACCGAAAAAAACAGCCACATGGGTCGACTGTGCAAGCAGCTTATTACAAGCAATACTTAGTTATCTTAAGGCAGTGCCCTCTAATGGCCATAGTAGTTACTACAAGAGAGGAAGAAGTCTGGTGACATCATAAAAATAGCGAGTCCCCATAATGTTGTGTAAAGATGAAAGAGGCCCCTATAGGGTGGTAGATGGGACAAACAAACACAGGACTTTCATCCAGGAGACTGGTCGTGTGTTCGTGCCCCGAAGTCCAGGTTGACTCCTTTTAAATACAACTAGGGCTGACGAGCAATTAAAAAAATAATCTAATTAATTACATGCTCTGAGAATAATGAATCTAAATTAATCATATACTTCAATTTTTGCTGTATTTTAAACTTTAATTCAAATAAATTTTGGCAAATGTGTCGAAGTAAAGCTGCTGGATTTTGCATTATATTGTACCCCTGTCTTTTACCACCAGAACTGGCGTGCAGTCCAATGCAATCCATTTTGCGAGGGAGTTAGCCAGGTAGTCACAGGTGGACTTACCGAGTTAGCATCTGAACTCCTAGCCAAGTGTGGCTTGACGAGGCTGGCTGCTAGCGCTAGCATCAGAGGCTGTGGTAGGTCAGACTTCCGAAATCTCTGCTAAATGCTTTGCGTTGACTTGAAGTACTCCCAAGGTACGAAAATTCCTCATTTCAGAAATTGCAGAGAACAGTGCTCCTATCAACAGGTCCATCTGGGTGTTTTTTAAATGGAAATGTTCCATTCATAGGGCCAACTTTTTTAACGCATTATTTTTTCTGTGATTAACTAATTGAAATTATTCGTTATTATTCATTATTTTGACAGCCCTTATTACAACATAACATAGTATGCTAGTATGTGTAGCAAACTAGTGATGTCTGTCATGTGACTGACGTCATGCTACATTAGTAACAAAAGTACTTATTTAAAGCCAAACCAGGATGTTTTTGTAAACCGACCTACCTAGTTTTGCTGCTTTAACATAGCCGTGAAGTTTTATAGACTAATGCGACCATTTTATAATGTTAAGGACTTTGTTTAAAACTGCGACCCTCAGGATGGAAATATATATGTCGTTTTAAGGAAGTTGGTGGAAATCTACTTATTCTGTCATTTAGTTATGAGTGTTGGCTCATGATAGATTTCTTTATATGGTCATCTGCTTCAGGCATATTACTGCAAGTGTTTACACTACATAGCCTACACTGCTACATGTAGCTATGTGCTATAATCAAGGAAACATATAATCTTGGTCGCATATGTTGTCAATTTCTCAATGATTTCAGATTATATTACTGCTGGAACATGTCCAATTGTGTTTAGAAGCTTTTATTGGTGATTTTCAACGGGGGAAAGTGCTATTCTCCGTCACAGTGATTCCCCGGCTGTAAGTACACTGCTACATGTAGCTACATGCTAACGTCAAGGAAACATGTAATCTTGGTCGTTGATGTTGTTAATTTTGTGCCAATTTTGGATCATATTCCTGCTTGAACGTGTTGGGTTGTATAGATTTGGTTTAGAGACTTTTATTGGTGATTTTTGACAACAGAAAGTGCCGCTATACACAGTCATTCGCTGCCTGCAAGTACACTGCTACATGTAGCTACATGCTAAAATCAGGGAAACATGTAATCTTGGTTGCCGATGTTGTTAATTTCTCCTTCATTTTGGATCGTATTCTTGCTTGAACATGTAAAGTTGTGAGGATTTTGGGTTAGAGGCATATAATGGTGATTTTTAACAGGAGAAAGAGTCGTCACAGTCGTTGGCCCCTATGCGCAGAGAGTGCAGATGCAGAAGTCCCAGAAAAGCAAACAAATCAGGAGTAGACTGGGCTTTTTTCAGGAGGGGGGGCCTTGAGAGACAGGGGTAAAACAGAGGGTTTTATAGAGAGGCTGAATACAGATGTTCCAGCACAGACTGTATAGGGAAAATAATGTGTTTTTTGACCATTAAAGCATGTAAACGTGTTCTAGTAGAGACCTTATATACAGGTATGAACCTAAAAATGAACATACGTGATAGGTCCCCTTCAAAATAATGTCCTATTTTTGATGTGTGACCTTTGACTTCATGATGCTGTATTCGTGGGTACAGTCAGTATCTTTTAAAAATTGTATTCTTATTTCCCAAATCATATATCTTTTTTTTTTATTCTTACTTATTCTTGACCTCAAAATGTTTATTTTGTTTAAATAAACTGCAGTGTACCTTAAACTAAGGTCAACATTTACTGCTGTTTTTAGTGAGATCTAGCATGCTACATTTACCTCTAATGCAATTAGGGCAAGTCATAGCCCAGAGCTGCATTTATTTTTGTTAGATCTGTGGATGAACATTTTAAAACACCTTGATCTAATTAATTGTCTGTCGAAGCCACCAGGCGACTCAGCCCAGCTACGCCAGCTGCTGCACTCAGGGATTTATCCTTCTTTAAATAACTCAGCCCTCAGTCTCACCTCCCCAATCATGCCGTTCCAAGTCCCACGGACCAGCTTGCCATGTTTCCCGTTGGTGACCAGGTAGAGGTCGTAGGAGAACTTGATAGTGCGGGACAGTTTCTTCAGGATGTCTATGCAGAAGCCCTTACAGCACAGTTTGGTGTAGGACTCAGAGTGGCCGATAATACTGAAAGAGGGATGAGAAAAAGCAGAGTCACACATACAGTCAAATACAGATTTGCTTTTAACATCTTGTGATCAAAAGCACCCTATCTGGCAACTGGGACTATCTTTAGCTCTGCTGACCAAAGCTGTTGTTTTTGCTTTGTCTCAGAGAGTGAGTGCTAAATAGTCGTGGGCTCTCATGCTGACAGTGACCATCGTCTACGGCGGCGAAGTGAAGGGCAGGCGATGGTCGGTTCATTAGCTAAAATCAATGTCTGTTAACAAGGTGTCAATGGAGATGAAGGAGATGCCAAAAAATTGCAAACACACACACAGAGGCAGTGTGACAGAGCCAGCAGTGGGTGGTTGAGTGACTGTGATGGCCTCTAATCAAAGGCCATTAAGGTGTGTAGCATGTGAGAGACACTCACTTCCTGTCTGTGGCTTTGCTACTTAATGGGGCGTAGAAGAAGAGAACAGAAGGACAGGAAATGGTCAAAAAATAACAGAAAGGCATTAAAAGCAACAATGAAAGTTAAAAGCAGATAGACTGACGAACTTCCAGAAAAAAAGGTAGAAGAAAGTGTATGCGTGATTAAGATAACCTCAGCATCTCAATGAGTCAGCACGAGAGCCGGAGAGCGATGAAAAAAGAGCATGTGAGTGAATAAATGAGTGAGGCGCTGAATGAGAAAGAGTCAAGCGAGTAATTAACATTCAAGTTGATTATTTTCAACAGCGTAAGAGTTCATTTCAGACAAATTTTAAGTGTTTTTGAAAGGCTCGCTTCTTTCACAGGAGTCAATAGCTCTGATAAACGCTGCGTTAATTAATTGCTGCAGGAGCTGGCCACCTGTCGTCATTATACACACTCCACTAACAACACACACACACACACACACACACACACACACACACACACACACACACACATAAACACACCTAAATTGGGCCGTCTCTCTGTCACACACAAACACATGTAGTACAGTATCCTTGGAGGATTAGCAGCAGTTGTGTTGTGTTGTGTGTGTTCCTCATAAAATGCCCAGAAACTGGTGCAGTGTGGAGGGGAGCACCATGAGGGAGTTAGACCTGAGAGAGCGGAGGATTCTCAGGTGAACAGCAGATAGGAAACACACGGCGAACAACCAGACATGGCCTGACAGGGCGGCAGCTTCAGTTTGGAGGGAAAGGAGGGCAAGAGGAAAGGAGGACAGATGGAGGAGGAGGAAGAAGAGGAGGGGGATAATTGAAATAACCACCACTGTGATCACGTAAGAATGACGAGGGAAAGTTGATGTCCTACAGTCAATGTAAACGGGGACACTGTCATGTTGAATTCCTGTTGCCGCAAAGATGCCAGCAAACTATTGTCCAAAAAAATAATTTTATGCTCGTAGCATGACAATTTATCTTAATCACACCAAAGGGAGCACCCCATTAAAAAGAGCCCCAGAGTCAGACCAGAAGGACACAACAGCTGAATCCAAATGTTCCGGACTTGCAGACTCGCAGACTCTGTCTGTGAGCACTGAGGGCCGTCCAAATCCACTATTTATCCAGTCCACGGGGGCCTGAAGCGGACTATCTGCAGACTTCCAGAGAGTCTGCTTGGGGTGCAGGCTTCACCAGACATCACTGATTTAATTACCCACAATAAATAGCAATACAAACCTGAAAGTGTAGATTTACCAAGTGGCAACTAAAAAAACAAAACAAGCTTTTTATGATTGGGAAAAAAAAATTACTTTATTAAAATGTAACTTGAAATATGTCAGCCAGAAATATTATTAAACCATCATGTATCATGATACAGAAATATGTAGAAGCACATGCTATAGATGTTCAAAATGCATTGCAGCCTACCCTATAGGCCGATGACCTGTAGATGACACCAAGTTGAAGTTGACTGGTTTGTCTAGCATTGTGGCATGACACAGCAGTTTCCAGGCTAAAATAAAAATAGCTGCCAGGGGGGTACTCGATTAGACAATCACCACCACGGGCAGGACTAAAGCAGCTGTCAAGCTGTTGTCAAGCAGTGCGCTGAAACTGGTGAGGAGTAAAAATCAATGTAGACTTAAAATGACATTAGATTCAGGTGGATACGTGGGTCTCTAGTAATAGGTTAGAGACAATCGACTCCCACTCCACCAAGGATATCAGTAACTGTGGACGCAATGTTAGACTAAAGATTCAAACGCAGTGTAACTAGCTGACAGTTCTGTCTGACATCAGGCAATAAAAGCTGTGCAGTGTGACGGACAATATGTAAAGACAACAAAAGGTCTTCCAATGTAATACTGAATTAATTTAGTCATAGTCTCGTGCTTATTACAAACATTTCTGGACATCATTTTGTTTACTTAAAAAAAACTCCAAGACCAAGACCACCTCTACTTCTTGAAGAGGTGGTCTTGGTCTGGTTACAAACAAAGTCTGGTGCGGTTCATTTGTGGTGAGAACGTGTTCGGACCTCGATCCGAACCAACTGCAGTCACATGACACATTGTTTGGGTTAAACATGAGCATGTTACAGTCCTGGAGGATTATTAATGTGCACCTCCTCCTGTACTGCCTTAATATGCACATTCAGCACATCCAATGCATCAAAACATTGTTTTCTAGTTGGAGCCGCGCCTCGTTTTCAAACTGTATGGTTTGACTAAAATGAACAATGACAGCAATATAGTCCACGATGAGCAGCGCTAAAATCAACCTGCGTAGTTGTCCCTCCATTGTGACATTAGAAAGTGTCACATTTATCTTGCAAGTGTACTCTTCTTTAACGTTTGCTTTACTTCCTGGATTTTTCCCACATGGAAATTCTGACCAATCAAGAGCAGCTTTCTCACACAAGGCATTTGATCTGGTCCGCTTGTAAATGCTGCCGTGAGAACACGAACCAACTCTAGGCAATAATGCAACTTTAGAACAAAATTAGTCCCTGATTCAGACCAAAGCAAGACAACTCTAGGTCTGAAAGCACCCCTAGTCATAGTCCGGTACTTTTTTCAAACATATCTGTATTTAAATGTGTGTAGCCAACCCTGTGGGTGTTTTTACATTTCACAGTAAAATAAATCAGTCAAATCAAAAATCACACGGTATAGCCAGCAGCCGACGTATTTCAGCTGTAACACTTAATACCTGCCATTTTTTTTAAAATGTTAACCATGATTTTACTAACTAACCAAGTATGTTAGTTCTCTAGCCAAACCCTAACCATTTTTCCACATCCTCCAAATCATTCATTTTGACAACAGGTTTGGAACAAGACGTGTCCAAATACTTTTGGCAGTATAATAAGTTTAATTTACAATTATGTGAAACCGAGAAAAAATCTGAGAACCACCAAATATGGGTCATTTCTGCTGGATAAATTACATAAACAATTAGTCGATTAACAAAATTTTTGGCACTTTACTGTCACAAATCAGATCATCAACTAATTTAGCATCTGGCCACTGCATATTGTGCCACAATAAAAACATACAACATCACACAGCCAGGGTGTTTAAATCAGGATTTTTAGAGCGGGATTCCTGCTCTTAATTGGTGCAGAGAGGTAGGCTCAGCTTTCTGGCAAAGGAGGCCGTCATCTGTCCAAAGAAAGGATTTTTAATGAGCAAGACAAAAAGTTCTAATCACGCTAAACATCTGCTCTGCGGGGAAACAGACCACACAGCAAGATTAACTGATTTATATAGCAGCAGCGCTCGCTCTCCCCCTCTCTCTTTCCTTCTCCCTGTTTGTTGGTCAACGTCCAAATGGGACATGCCAGCCTGAGAGGAATGGTGAAAGAGAAACAGAAAGAGGGTAGGATGGGATAACATTGTCCCATGCTATGACAGATGTCCCCATGTTGGACAGATAAATCTTCTTTACTGGCAATCAATGTGCCATCGCACCCAACAACAGCCGCTACATATCTCTCTCTATAATTAATGTGCCAGCCATGGTCAGATCTGCAATCTGCATAACCGATACATACCCACGCACACACGCATACACACACACATACATGTGGATTCACTGAAGTGAACATGAACATGGCATTTACAAGCCTGATAGTTTGTTTTCAGTTGTTCGGGTGATTAAAATTGATCAATCTGTGCACATTAATCATATAATAAATGTCTATTAATGCGACATATGTTATGCCGGTACATGTGAGGCTTGCTGTGTAGAGGGTAACACACAATCAATAACATTACATCCTGCATCAACACTAATCTGACCTGATTTTTGGGCTGCAAGACTCATTTTAGAGTTGGACCAAATTTCAGCTTCATCAGGCGTTGTTTGCCATGCAGTGTGTAAGGAAGAACGAAGATCGATCGAAAGCCGATCAACTACTCCCCACTGGCCGTCGGACGTTATTATGAATTTCTCATGTGACAAACTTTGGTCAGATTTCGTAAATTGTTAATGGTAAATGGACCTGCACTTGTACAGGGCCTTTCTAGTCAAAGCGTTTTTTACACTACAAATTACATTCACCCATTAACACACTGGTGGCCAAGGCTACCATACAAGGTGCCACCTGCTACTCAGTTTTTAACACACTGACACACCGATGGAACAGCCATCGCCAGCAATTTGGGGTTCAGTATCTTGCTCAAGGATACCCAAGGATGCAGACTGGAGGATCTGGGGATCGACCCTTCATCCTCCAATCAGTGGACGACCTGCTCTACCTTTGAGCCACAGCCACCCACAAGTCAGGGTCTCGTACAGTTAAAGCAGAGCCTTGAAGTCGATTACTCAAGGTGTACAACAGTGTGTAACCAGCTTGTTTGTTGGTGATGCTAACTTGTTTGGACTTTTTTGGGACCTCTGTCTCTATGTTATGTGAACTGTACCCATACTAGTAAATAAACTTCTACCTGCCCGCAGCCCTGGAGCTTTTAAACGAATATTTATTGGCAACTCTCAATAGCCAGAATGATCCACAGGGGCTGACAGACCTTTCATTGTCTATTTTACATGTACAGTGTGGTGTAGTGGAGGGTATACCCA